TGAAAATAGGGAATGTGTGTGTGGGAGGGGGGGTGTAAAGGGACAGAAAGAGAAAAGAGAGAAAGACTTCTAAAGCAGAGAGAGAGAGACAGAGACAGAATTCTGAAGGAAAACAACAGGGTTGATGTGGAAGTAGGTGTGTCCTCTGAGGACAGTGATGTTGGTTTAAAAGGATGAGGTGGGATTACAACTCACTTACTGTTGCTCTCACAGAAAAGATGACACTGACTGTTCATTTAACAGTCCTGGAACAAAGAGTCATTGCAAAGGATGTCAATGAGAGTGGGGTGTAGTGTGTGATTGTGTTTGCATATGTGTATTTTCATTCGTTCTAGCAATATAAATGACCTTACTTTGTAGAAAAAAAACAGAGAAAAATCAGGCTAAACCTACAAGACCAAGAAAATGTTATATAAAAATAAAGTGTAAAAAATGAAGTGCTATTTTAATAAAATCACTATGTTTCATTTTTGAAAATGATAAAACAAGATTATTTCCTTTTGGGTCCTGAAATTAAGGTTAGAGCTATATTTCAGAAAAGGTTTAGAAAATTTTTATTGCATGTAGATTATTACATACACATACATATGGGTCATACTATTACATATAGGCACATACACATATAAAATATATAAGAGGCATTTTATTATATATAGGTGAAATACAATGCATTTTAAAACAGTGGGATGGATTAACAACCTGTGAAAAGACAAAATCAAACCAGAAGCGTGTTTGGTTAGGTTTTATTCTAATTAGGCTGTACCTATGTTGATTATACTCACCGAGACTAGCAAAAGAAATAAAACTAACAACGGATAGTTTTATCAAAAACACATCATTAGATTATTCATTAAGCCTCTTTCATTAGTTATTATGAAAATGTGTGCTGGAGGAAACACAAGCTAATGCTGAGTTACTAAACAAGTAAATTTTTTTTAATTCAAAGATTTAAACACATTTAATGACATCAAGCAGATGCTATATTTGGATTCAGCTCCCATAGACTATGCTTGTGTTAAAGTTTGTTTTATGAAAGCTATAATATTTCATGACTTAATTCTGACTCAAAACATTTGGTTATTTAAATGAATGTGGCAGAGCCGTAGAGCTAGTGACTCATTTGTTCTATTGGAGTCATTTTGTTATTTCTTTCAGTAGTGGCCTTTCAAAACATTGCGAAAATATATCACATCGCTTAATTACTCCTAAACAAAACAGACCCTGACTGGTGGTTTCAAACCAGGTATGTTCAATAAAATGAAACAATTGTTAAATAAAATCATATTGAATCTTGATGAAATCTTTATGAATATTTTTACTAGTCTATTAAAGGTTTGACCTAGTGGTTTATTCCCAAATGTATATTCATCAAAAATGGGACAATTGCAGGAAAAAAATTGGAAAAATAAAGGAAACTGTTCTTTGCAATGTTGCATCCTCTGCATAATGGCTGTAGTTCATGGAAGCAGATGAATTGGATTAAATTCTCGTAAACGTCCCTTAAATCTGGCCTTTTGCCTGTTCCCTATCAGCTGCCATATCAGATGGGCTTAATGCTGGTATAAATTAAGCTGGCCTGCTTGTTAAGGCTTACCTGCATGTATAGGTGGGGGAAAGTGTGTCGGCTGTGTGAAGCTGCAGTCGTGGATTAGAGGGCGGCTCAGAAACACAGAGAGGCGGCCTGCTTTAATGAGTCCTCCAGAGGAAAAAGCTTTACTTTTACCTTTACCTTCTGTGTCTGTCTCATTTTGAATGGAAATCTGCCTTTTGGCCTTCCAGTGGCATCAACTCACATGTTGTTAAACAAGAAAACATTAAAGGAATGAACACACAATAAAACACATACAATATACACACATACACATATACACATACAGTCTTATGCAAATTATATGTTTTGTTTATATTCCAAGTGAAAGTTAACACACCCTCCACAGAGAACACACTTCTGCACATTTAATGCACAATTATTGTTTATTTGCTGAATTTAACATATTGAGAGGAAACATAAAACATAAAATATAGCCTGTGCAAAAGTTTTGCCACATTTTATATTGTATGTTTGTTATTTTATGTTTTTTTTCCAATATGTTCAACTCAGCAGATAAATAGAAATTGTGCAGTAATATTTGCAGAAATATGCAACATGTTCCCTGTAGAGGATGTATTTGTATTTTCACCTAGAAAATCAACAAAGCATGTCATTTGACCAGGAGTGCACACCATTGTACATGTACAACATACTAATGAAAACATGCTAGATATGATGCTTTAACTCCTTTAGGGGCATTAACTAAAAATCAACTTTGATCTGTCCAATAATGTACAACTTTAATCTACATGTATCGTTTTTTTTAATAGTTTAACACAGACTGCATTGACTAGAAATTGAACTTAAATTGAACTTAAAATGAATAAATTAAGAATAACTCTCTCCATTTTCAGTACTAAATGCATCAGCACAGAAGTTCATCAGTAAGCCTTGTTGTGGGACACAGAGGCAGCCTATCAGGACAAACTGCCTAAGGCCACACTCTTCATTCGTTATTACAATATTATTGATCCTTTTTTTGGTTGAATAACACTACTGAGTACGTGTGCTCCTCACCTCCCTCTCATAAGACCAGTTCACAGGACACTGCTTTGATTCATATCACGTTTATTAAACACTTGTGTCATGCTTAAATATTTGTCTCTGCATAACCTGATTTATTTGTGCTAAATTCAGTGTGAAAGGAGATGGAAGCGGAGGGAGGGGGCAGGAGTCTGACCAACTGACCTGCCGCATGATTATGGGTCATTAACTGGAGACTCGGTGTGTTTCAATTACTCAAGAACCTCCAATCAGACAGATAAATTACACTTGGGCGCGCACACACGCGCGCGCGCGCACAACACTTAAACACGAATAAATCACGGGCCTTGCAGTGGGAAATTTGTGAATTTTTGTACACACACTCACTCTCTCACTCCCTCTCGTTCTCTTCACACACACACGGGCGCGAGCGCTCGCGTTCACACCGCATTGTTTAACATACATGTAGTGTGTGGGCTCTGGAGAGAAAGAGACAGCATATTATCCAAATAAAATAACTCACGTGTCAGCTTCAAAATCCTCCCAAAGAGCGCGCGATAAACACACACACACACACACAGAGGAAAAGGAGCATCGGGCCTCTACCTGCAGTCTCCTCTCTTCTACAGCTCTATAGCTCTATAGCATTGCCTTATATATGTGAACTGTGTCGTGAGCGCGCGCGCAACTTTTTTCAGAGAAAGAGAAGGAGTGAATAGACAATGATAGCATGAATGCATTTGGAAAATTAAGTATTAAAACACAAATTTAAAAATAAAACGGTGTTTGTAGGTCCAAACGTGAACATACCTGAATATAAACAGTCATAGTAATCCGCATTAATCTAGTAAAACAGCTCTAACACACTCATTACACTACTAAACACACTGTAAAGTGCTCCGCGCGGCGCCCTCAGATGGATTATTGCTGCATATTTAGTTTGAGGGGGAAAAAAGACAGATATTTCTTTAACAGTTTATTACTTTGTATTTCTGATCATTACATTTGCACTAATGGTGAACTATTAGAACCAGAGCTAGAACTGCCACATTTTTGCTTATTATTATTATTATATTATTATTATTATTATCAATATTGTGTTGCTGCTCTTGTTGTTGTGGCTACAGCAAAATCTCCAGTGTGGATTTTAACCTGATAAATAACATGAAGCGCCAGTGAGTTTAACACGCATCTTGATTAAGAAATATAAACGCGGCTCAGCTGTGTTTTTTCTCCATCTCGTTTAAATAAGTCAGTTTGACAAAATGTGATTTATAAAGGATTTAATTTGATTTTTTATGTTTGTTTTATTCTATTTAAATTTTTATGCCCGAGTTATGAGTGTGTGGATGTGTTGAATTATCTTATTCCTTCATAAGTGAAGAATATTCCAATGTCTTGCAAAGAACACACACATACACACACCCAACTCTCCGTCAGTGTGTACGTTTGCTCGGTTGGAAAACAGTTATAAAGGATAAAGGTCTGTAGCAGAAAGCTTTTCACACTAAAAATAAAAATAAACAAATAAGTGAGTTAATAAAACACTCACCAGTATCTAGAATCTATACAAACGATAAATACCGACTGAGGTTTGTAATATTTAGTCTATATCTAAAACACAATGTAGAGACATATACCTACATCAACAAGCAGATAAACTTTTCTAACAGTTTCGAATTTCATTCTATGTCTTTAAAGAATAACAATAAATTAATAATAATACATTAGTTCGTATTCAACACACGCGACTCACCATATAACATTGATGATACGTTTCCAAAAAGGCCTGATTTACATATATAAACTAGTATCTGCCCAGGAAAAATTTAAGATTTAGTTCTTATCTAGACATTATTAAGCCACGGGTAACTAACGGTTTAGGAATCTACTCTAAACTATAACGAGCTGTCAAAGAAGACAAGATGATTCTTGATGTCTATCATGACGCGGCTACTGAAAATTATTAGTATCTACTCAGACTCACATGCAGCAAATACGAATTAGGAATTAGGAAGCATCAGTCTGGGAGAAATGGGTTTATTAGTAATGTAAGCAACAAAGGTTTCAAAATGTTAGTTTCCCAGCCCTAATTATCACCAGCCTATTAACGCACTGTGCAAACGGTTTAAATTGCACGTACGACAAACACACTTTGAACAAAAAAGGAGCCTCAATCTACATGATAACCGCTACAGTTTTCATATAATGTGATATATATTACAGAATGCTAACGATTTCAATAAAAAAGTTGCCAAAGTTTAAGAATGCTCGTGTAGTTCAGGGGTTTGGCGCCCCTCCTCCCCAAGCACTCGATTGGCTGAGTCACACACCGCCCCTCCTCCGCTTTGAGTGGATTGGCCGAGACATGTATGACCCCTCATCCTCCAAAACGGGATTGGCCGAGAAACGATTCGAGCACATATATGAACTCAGGCAGCTCCAAGATGAAGCGGCAAGACCGAGAGCGAGAGCAGAAGAAGAAATTGAGGTGGTGCTGTAAAAAAAACCCAGACTGCATGTTTACATGCACGATCACTGAGATAGGATCCTTATTTTTTGCTTGCTTCACACAGAACAAACTTCACCACGGATTTGAAAGCCAAACAAAAAAGAACTGTCAACGTTTCCATCGCAGAGGTCCAGCCTGCAGTGATCACTAACGGAGCGTTTTCATGATGGATATGGACAATGGAGCCTATGCGTGTAAGTAGTTGCTTTCCAGTGTTGGGAACTTTTTAGAGGGTCCGTTCTGGGTTTTTTTCTGTTTCAAACATGTGTCCTTGAATAGCAGTGGTAGTTTTGTGATGGACAAATAAGACGGTGTTGGGCGCTTTGACCAACTCGAGAAGTTCTGCACGGCTTCCTTTCCATGGGAGGCTCGTAAGAACCCCCAACACGCACTGATTGAGAGAAAGAAAAAGAGAAAAGCAGCACGTTCCTGTGTTTTTTTTTTTTTTTCTTGTGTGCCATCTTTCCTCTCCGTCGCGATGAGTCTGGTTGGAGGTTTTCCTCATCATCCTGTCATGCACCATGACGGCTATTCCTTCGCTCCGGCCACCCGCTGTCATGAAGAGAGCCCTTATTTCCACGGCTGGCTCATCGGCCACCCGGAGATGTCCCCACCGGACTACGCCGTGGCTCCTTCCTACAGCCCCGAGTACGCAGCCGGGCCGCCGGGGCTCGAGCACTACGGCGGCGGGGTTCCAGGGTCGGCGCCACGGGCGGGCAAACCGCGTAGGCCCACAGCCAACCGCAAGGAGAGGCGCAGGACTCAAAGCATCAACAGCGCCTTCGCCGAGCTCAGGGAGTGCATCCCCAACGTGCCCGCAGACACCAAGTTGTCCAAGATCAAGACGCTGCGCCTGGCCACCAGCTACATCGCCTACCTCACCGACATCCTGGACAGGGACGAACAGCACGGCGAAGCCGAGGCCTTCAAGGCGGAGTTCAAGAAGGCAGAGGCCAAAGAGGAGAGGAGGAAGAAAGAAATGGTACGTGTGCTTTTCTTTATCCATGCAGTGAGCCATAAAGCAGTGAGGGCACAGTGCATTTGGTCGTGTAGAATCTGAGCAAAGGTATCCGCTAGAGCATCATGATTTGAAGTGATGGGCTAAAGTGAGAAACATGTAGCATGATTTTTTAAATTACTATTACTGGTTTCTTGAACGTGAAAGTATACGGCGGGCACAAGATGCAGGCCCAAGTAAAATATTAGAGCGATGTGTATCGGGCGTAGATTTTATGCATAATCTGTCAAAAGGATTTCATTAAACAAGTAAATGATACGTGTGTTTTAGCAATTTCCATAAAGCAGTACAGTTACTGTATTTGGTGTGGTTACACATTTGTACGAGTATAGTCTTACAAGGCTGAAAAAGTATTTGCTGCAGGCCCTCTGCGATTGAAGCAGCGCTGTAGAGGAACTCGAAAATCAGAAATGCATGTTTGTCTATACCTTTTAGGAATTTCGTGTCAGGAATTTTTGTATAAAGAGTTCATACAATCTTAATTTGGTATACTTTATGTATAAACTGAAGAGATGAGAGATGGCCTCATATTTTTAAGACAGCTCTTACAGATTAATACAACAGTGCGCGGCATCAACAAGAATGAGCTCCAAAAGTCAAATCAGTATAGGCAGAATATACATATATATATATATATATATATATATATATATATATATATATATATATATATATATATATATATATACACACACACACTCTTTCTGCTTTCTTCTTTCACTATCACGATAGTGAAGAATATCCTGCAGGCTTCATTTTGTTCACGGATGTTTTCGAATCGTCAAAAAATCGCTTTTATCTTCCAGGGTTCAGATCAGGAATGTTTTGTAGTTTTAAACAGTTTCCTGCTTATAAACACTTTTATGTACTATCTAACAGTATGCCCAAAGTTTGTCATGTTGCAGATCTTGCCAATAGAAGAAAAGTCAAAAGGTCAAAAATGTTCTTGAACGCGGCAAAAAAAAAGAAAAATTAAACAAACAATGTAGAGGCATCTACAAACTGTGTTTCTTTTATTTCTTTTTTTTATTTCTTTCTGTCTCTGCAACTGATTGCTTTTCTTGCATTTGCAAACAGAATGAAGTTTTGAAAAGTTCAGGGAGCAGCAACGAAAAGAAGCCTAAAGGAAGAACTGGTTGGCCTCAACACGTCTGGGCTTTGGAACTGAAACAATGAGAAAACGAACACAAAAAAAGAACACACAAAAAACCCTTTACGAAAAGACCTTGAAATGCAGGCCTTCCTGTCCCTCTGATTTTTTACACTATAACTTTATTTAATGGAATATTTATGTGCAATTTCGCGCTCCGGACAGTGGATCCCTGAAGAGAAAAAGCCCATTGCAGAGCTTTAAGAGGAGGATGCCCTCTTGGTAAGGGACTCTGCTGTTGCTGTTGTTGTTGTCTAGTATGTGCTGAATGTTTTATTTTATTATTATTTTTTTATTTTTGTTTTCCATGTCCCACTCTGAAACAAATCCGAGATGTGTGCCACTAAGGTGTACGTGAAGTGTAGGTCTCTCTCTCTCTCTCTCTCTTTCTCTCTCTCTCTTGCTGTATTTAAATATAAAGGGGGTCGAAGTTATGATACAGTTTAAAAAAAACTTATTTGAAAAAAAAAATTGTCATGAAGTGTAAAATACATTGTGATGTTTGTGGTCGTGTAGAATCAAGTGCACTTCCGTCCAGACACGAGAAACTTAATAATATTGGAGATGTAAACAATGTAATTAATTCAATAAACCACTGTGTTTTAACGAGCTTAATCTTCTTGTTGCATTGATAAATACTCAGTGACTTATTCGTTTAGAGGAAGAATAAAGATACGCTGCCTGTAGGCAAATAAACGATGGCGTTACGATTCCTGCAAAAAAAGAACTGTGGATTCAGAAAGAAAGATATTCAGTTGCGGTTATTGCGCGTTTAGAAGAACGCGAATGTGAACTAAGAGTGGCCATTAAAAAAACTGTTGAACTCTACTCACATTAGTTTGGAGCCATGCCCTTCACCGAGTGTTTATATTAGATAAAAAACTGCTGCTATCAGTGTCAGCTAATGTGAGTTTGTTACACAGCAAGATGATTTATGAATAGTGAATATACTACACAAGAAAGAACAATGTCCTTAATCGTAGAAGGTCATATTTATGCATCATCGATGGTAGAATAAGCTGAAGATCTCTTAGCGGTGAATGACCCCCCCCCAACCCTCGCTACATACACAATTACCCAGAATACAACACATGTACACACACACGCACACACACAAACAATGCAAATACAGTATCTCATTAAATAAGACTAGATTAAGCTTCTGCATTTTGTGCATTCACAATAAACACATACATGAATGCATAAACTACCGCAGTTACAATACTTTTCAAGTGTACTTGTACTTGTTCGGGTGTGTAACAGCCACAATTTCGGCCCATAATAAGCCTTATCAATTGCATCTATAGTTAGTGATGAAAAATAGATTTTTTTCTTTTTTCTTTCTTTTTTTAACATACCACAGTGTTTTGAAATTACATCGCGTTGAAATGCGAAATACAAACTGATTCTAAAAATTCACTGTCAATCTCTTAAGTTTATGCACAGCTAAAGAATTAAGTTTAGCATAAGCAGTTATGCGGTCACGTGCAGAAAGGTGGCAAAACAAAATCCCTAGGAGTGAAATTCCAGTGGTGCATTGCTCTCCAGTCCACTTTTCTCACCCAAATCACATCACTGAAGGAGCAGACACAGTGGAGCCTAAGAAAAAAAATGCACGATTGACATTAAGAGCAGAATCCTAAGGAGGGTCAGTGTGGGGTAGACTGTGGCCGAGTAGCTATCGGATGTGCAAGTGATTGATAATGTGCCGATCAAAGCCGCTGCTGAAACCTCCCATTGGGGGCTGCAGTCTCGGGAATAAGAGTATAAGGCGATAAGGCAATAAGACAGTAAAGGTGCAAAGGTTTGGCTATGGATATATCCGGACGAACTAAAAAATTGCGTTTATCAAAAATAAGACGTGATTTAGTCCATTAATAAACATTTATTCGGTAACACGTTGATTTGTGGTTGCGTTTATTTAAAGCCAATCTCGCCAAATAACGCTGAAATTTCAATTTCACGCGCGATGAGAGCGTAAAAGGCCCCTAAACGAGGGAATGTAATTCAATTATTCAAATCCTCTTCTCCTTTCGCGAGCTCCTCATAATGTTGTCACAGCACTGCTTTGAATCATTGGTAGAATTTTTAGGCTGCAAATTTCTTTTGATTTTTAATGTATGACCTATACAGGGACTCATGGCGCTTCTTCGCTCAGCCACGAAGGCCGGAGAGATTATTCATGTGAAGGCATGCAATCAGACCCTGACAGTCAAGCACAGCAGTGCAGAGAAGAAGACGATTTAAAGCTCATCCGATCGCATTAGATCTTCCCTCGTTGTACTGTACGGCCTGCTTCTGCGAGACTCTGAGCGCGCGCTGATCATTATAGTCAGAGATAATTTGTTGTCTCTGTCAAGATGGCGTCCGAGATAAAATTAAAGCGTCTGTTCGTTCTTGATTAAAGATACAGATAATTGTCTGACCTGATGGTGACCTGCTGCTGTCAGTGTAGTTCAGTCCTAATGGCGGAGTGCACACATAGGCCCGTCTTTCATAAGGCCCTGCAAACACAGTGCTGGAGAAAGTACACCAACCCTTCACGAAGGGAAAAGCAGAAATAAGTAGAACATCGCCCTTGTAAACACTAGAGTTAAATTATTAAAGTACACTCTTAAAAAAGAGGGTTATTCACTTTACACATTACTTAAGGGTTCTTAAGTAAAGACAGTGGTTCTTTTACAAAATGGTTCTATATAGCACCAAATGGGTTTTTTCTATTGCTACAAGCTTGGATCCGTTACAACAACAGAGCTCTTTTTGGTGCTACATAGAACCATTTTCAAAAAGATTCTATATGGAACCATATACAACACATTCTCCATCAATCTGAAGATCCTTTTCACCATGCAAAGAACCATTTAAACATGCAAATGTGTTCATGGTTAAATGTAGAACCACTGTGTTTACTAAAGAACCCTTGAAGACGTGTGTACTTGCACTATCAAAAGTGAAAAGTAAATATCCTGCGTATAACCTGTGATGGTTCATCAAGGCTGAGGGGATTTATGTGGAAGAGATGTCTGAAAAAATGGCGATGCAATTACATAAATTGTCCCAAATTAATTACAGTCGCCTCTATATTCGAGCCCACTAAAATGTGCGCAGTTTAGAAGTCACCAAAGTAATAATGAGTTAGATAGGTCTCTCAAACTTTCAAGGGCTTCAGAATTGGAAATAATCAAGTACAAACGCTCAGGAAGGGTCCTTAAGTATCGCAGGGGAGTTTGTGGACTTGCTGCTCTCCAGCATGGGCAAAGTCCCCACATAAATAAATGAGAAGCGAGTTTCCTATATGTACCGCGGCCATAAGATCACACTGAGCGCTCCCTCTGAGTAAGATGATCTTAACACTGCGATGTTTCTTTAGGGGAAAACTGGGACTCAGTGCTGAGGGCATGAAAGTCACTTTATTCCCACACTAGGCTGCTTCATCAAACTACTACAGCTGCTATGAGTAAAAATAAGAACGTCAAAAATTACTAGCCTACACTGTAAAAATGACTATTAACATTAGCTTAGAAAAAGTCAGCAACATCATTTCTTTTACCTTAGCTAAATAAAACTCTAAATACACAAGCATAAACCCATATTATTAGCATCTTAACTACACTGGGAACCCAGAAAAAGAAGCTTACTGTTTTTAAACAGTAAATGTTTTAATTCGTCTCTTAAATGAGAGTTAAATTTCCATCGTTTAAACAACTAATACATAAATAACCCCGTGTTATTTGCTTCAATTACATAATGCATAATTTACCAGTCAATAACCAGCTCGAGCAGTTTGGCTGCCTTTTCTGTGCAATTGTGTTAAACTCCATGTTAAAGCTCTCTCGCACTTACTGAGTCCTGATAGATTTTAAAGCATGTGGACCAAATAAGATCTCTTTCCTGGTATTACAGACATCTGTAAACGATTAGTTCATAAGTCCCTCCTCCACTTTTGGATTTCTTCTCTCTCTCTTTTTTTTTCTTTCCTTCAGTCTGCAGAGAAGTTTTGCAGACATGCTGACGTCACATCAGACGGTAGGGAGCCATCCTGCGCATAAATTGGACGTCATCATGCTGCATGCCTACACCATAGAAGTGAATGGAAGGGCTTTAGAAGGCCTGGATCAATGTGATGAGGAAATATGTGTCTGAAAAACTCTGTATAATCACAATGAATGTGAGGGTTCCACAATGAAGTATGGTATGAAGTATATAATGCAGTGTTTCTCAGCCCTAAATATATTAGTGCTCTCGTGTTGTAGCTGAACTCATGAATTCAGTAATGAGTCCTTCACATGCTGAAGTGGGTGGAAGAAAGAACACCGCAACTGAAGTGCGAAGTGTACATGAGCAGAGCAGGGCTGGGAAACAGTGGTGTGCTATGGCACTATGGCAGGCGGCAGGCATGGAGTGTATATATATATATATATATATATATATATATATATATATATATATATATATATATATGTGTGTGTGTGTATTATGAAATGATAGTCATTATCACATTGTGCGAATTACATCAATTACTAGTATTATTATTATTATTATTATTTCTACAGCACAGTCCCCTTCACGAAACCAACACACCTGTTCACCACCAGTTGTTTGAACTGACCTCCATGAGCTCAGTTTTTAGGACTCACATATAGATAGAGGCATCTTAACTTTCAACCTCAGATTATTTCTTAACATGTGCAGAACAGATGAAGTCTGTGTGCCCAAAGTGACCGGCGGAGCTTCAACAATGTAGCTTACCAGTTGGGAATGGTGATATGAAACCAGGAGGACTGATAATTAGCCAGCATATCTTATTACTAATTACAGCGAATGTGAGAAATGCATTAATAATATTAAAACAATGCCGATTTAATGTGTGCATTTCTTGTTGCTCATGGTGCTCGTGTGGATTTGATATCTTGTAGCTTGTACTGCATCGCTTAGTGCTTATCTGCGTGTCTAACACAGCGGCTGAAATTTATACTGCAGTTACCAGTAAGCCTAAGTCATTATGGTTAATAACGTTTGTGCGGGAGGAGGGAGGGGGGGGGCGATATTAGGCCTACTTCGAATAATTTTAAGCAAATAATGACTCAATAAGGGGCTAAATCTCAACGCCAATGTCAAACAGGTTTCACTCAGTGAGAACGAAGGTGGTCGCTGTTTCTGATCCTTAAAACTGGACAGTCAAATGCACGTTATTGTGCGTTTGTAAATGACGTTCATATTTGATATTTGACTATACTAATAGTTAACAACCACTACACAACAAAACAAGCACTATAACTTATTTTAAGTTTAACTTAAAATGTATAAAACAAACTTATATTTATGGTAGCAAAATAAAATACAATTTTGAAACAGAACAAACAACACTAATAATCTAATTTAGACACAAAGAAAACTTTACAAACTTAGGTGATAATGTTTATAATTTAAAATAGCCTCATTTCTGCTTCCTTATGAGGTACTGAGAGCAGACACTTATTGCATTGCTTTCTATTTCCAAAATTATAGAAGTATAAACTTTTCCCTCTTTAACCTTTTTCCCTGTTTAACAATTATATTAGTTTTTACGTAATAATTTATCATAATATATTCTTGTAATACTTCATTTATTCAACAAACTCAAAACTCGAAGTGAACAAGAGGGAAGGCCAGGGCGGAGGTAAACATGTTTTTACTGAGACAGTAGTTGAGTATTATGATTGCTCACTAATCTACCTGCAAACATCTCAACGCGTCTTACCTGACCACTTGCATTAGAACCGGCTTATGTTTTGTTGTCAGTACATACCAGTAAATACCGTAGTAGCATTATCCCATTCAGCTCTATTGCATTCCTTTATTTCACGATCAGGGACATTTATTTTGCGTGTTTTTCAATGTTGAGTCGAATTTACATGGTATGAAGGCAGGCAAAGGCCACTATCGATGCATTTCAACTTTTTCCACTGTTGTCCAATTAATTTTAGACTGTAGTTTTAGCACCCTAAATCTAAATGTGAGATGTGGAGTGATACTGCTATTGACCAATTTCAAAAGCCATCACTGTTTTATATAATAAATTTGTTTTTTCTCTAAAATGAAGTCCATGGACCCACTGTTCCCTCGGGCGTGCTCCCATCAAAGAGAGCTGTTTGGGTTCCTTTTGGTGGAGGACATGAATTTGGTTCCTGTGTTCCTCCAGAAAAAGAAGCGGGAACAGCAGTGTGTTGGCAGCGATGTATCACTTCATTCCCCACATTAAACATCCCACAATATTACTGAGGATAAATAAAACATTCTATAAATAGTAGGCTATGGCAGACTGGCATAGTTTGGCGGAAATGTACCCCTATGCACCTCTGGCTCAAATTCATTAGCGTTCTGGTTCTAAAAACACAATAAAATAGCAATACTAACCAACCTAGTCAATCAATGTTACAACATTGCTATGGAAACGCCTTCCACATTAGCACATATTAGCAAACTACATTTGTCGTTGTGGAGACTGGCCTGTCAAGAGATGCTGTTAATCCAAGGTTAGCCGCTTGCTAACCAACACTATAGGTATATATTGCTCCGTATTGGTGTGAGTGAGTACAGGTTCAACAATTGGGGTCTTTGGCAAACACAATTCTACACACCATCTAAATCTCAGCTCCTCGATTCTGCTTTATATCATAACCACTTAGGTTGGCTAACTACAGTATAGCCAAAGATGGTATGTAAAGTAGAGCTAATGTCTGGTTGGAACTTTTCTCAGGTTAAGGGTAGCTGGTGACAGGTAACTCCGGAACGTGTTCAGTTTGAATGAAGCCAATGTCTTTACATTAGGAACTTACATTAGGAACCCAGTTTAAATTCATTCGTTGCTCAGTTTAAATGATGCTGGTGTCTATTAGTTTTGGAACACTGCTAAATTTAAATGAAGCTCCTGTCAGTTAGTTTGGAACGTTGCTCAGTTTTAATGAAGGCGTGTCCGTTAAATTAAAACGCTGTTCATTTTGAATGAAGCACAGTTACATTTTTAACGCTGTTCATTTTACATTAAGCCAGTGTCCGCTTGCTCAGTTTAAATGAAGCACGTGTCAGTTAGTTAGAAACGTTGTTCGGTTTGAAGGGACTTCATGCTCGTTACAAGTTCGGGTCCGTTACATTTGGAACACGTTCAGTTTAAAGGAAGCTCGTGTCCGTTAGTGGTGTCATAGTGGTTAATTTAAACCAAGTTTGTGCAAGTCTAGGACGTAGCTTAGTTTAAATGAAGTTTACATTCGTTAGATTTAGAATGTTGCTCATTTTAAATGATCCTGTGTCCGTTACATTTGGAACACTGTGCAGTTTAAATAAAGCTTGTGTCCGTTACATTTGGAACATTGTTAAATTTAGGTGAAGATAGTGTCCGTTCGTTTTGTAATATTGGTCAATTTAAACTAAGCTTGTGTCAGTTTAAGACGTTGCTCAGTTTAAATGAAGCTTTGGTCCGTTAGATTTAGAACGTTGCTCGGTTTAAATGAAGCTCTGGTCCGTTAGATTTAGAACGTTGCTCGGTTTAAATGAAGCTCTGGTCCGTTAGATTTAGAACGTTGCTCGGTTTAAATGAAGCTCTGGTCCGTTAGATTTAGAACGTTGCTCAGTTTAAGTGAAGCTCTGGTCCGTTAGATTTAGAACGTTGCTCAGTTTATATGAAGCTTATATATATATATATATATATATATATATATATATATATATATATATAAGATTTAGAACGTTGCTCGGTTTAAATGAAGCTTTGGGCCGTTACATTTAGAACGTTGTTCTGTTTAAATGAGGCTTGGTCCGTTAGATTTAGAACGCTGCTCGGTTTAAATGAAGCTTTGGTCCGTTAGATTCAGAGCGTTGCTCAGTTTAAAAGAAGCTGGTATCCGTTTGTTTTGAAATGTTGCTCAAGATACATGAAGCTCGTTTGAGACGCTGCTCGGTTTAAATGAAACTGGTGTCCATTATATATGGAACCTTGCTTAGTTTAAATGAAGCTGCTGTCTAGGACCGTGTTCCCTTTAAATGAAGAGCGAGTCCGTTAGATTTAGAACGTTGTTGATTAACAACGCTGAATGTGAAACGGAAACATTTGGCTTCTTGTTATTGACAACCACCACAAAACATTTACGAAGCACGCATTTATCTAGAGGTACAATGAAGAAACGGACAAGAGCATCCGTGAATAACTTAATCTAATTTTAGTGATGACGTACCACACATCGCCTCAAAGCAAGAGTGAAGTTATTTTTAGTCAGGCCACATCCATTACTGCCTGCCAGTCGCCTTCTGTGTGTTTGTCCCACTGATACAACAGAACCGCCAGTGCTTCATCGTCTGTCCTGTGCGCTGCCCTTTAATATCACACTAAAATGAGACAACCCAACACACACCATCCGCGTTTATGTGCGCCTGCAGCATTTTTTGAGCACCGGAAGATCAGGCCTTGTGCCCCGTTGGTGCTGTCAGCTGTGACAGTTCCCAGATGGAGGCCGCTACTGTATGAGAGATTGAGTTTCTCGCGGAAAAAAAAGAAAAGAGAAAAGAGAAAACCTCCCTCTCTCCATCCAAACCGTCCTCCCAAAGTCTCTGCAGGCACTTGTGCGCCCTGGCGCTGCGGAGAGGAGCCACCGCGGTGAGTACCCAAACCACTTACAGAACGAAGAAGCGGGGGTCTGTTTTCTACTCGGAAGCCGGGTGTATTTTAGCAGAGTGGCTATTCTGAGAGAGTTTCTTGGTAGATTTCATTGTCTGCAGTACTTACACTGTAAAAACGTTTTCCTTTAATCATGTTAGCTTACATCCCCCAGTGTTGTTCACATCACCGTAATCTGGGTTTGAGTTGTTGTCACTGTTGCTGTGTTAACGTATTTAAAAGCCACCAGATTTTATTAAATTAACGATACAAACTGATCCTACAGTGTATTTTATATGTACACTGTAGAATCGTGTAAATGAGGACCGGCTGCTTTAGCCAACGACGAAAGTAGTCCACAGACTACTGTATTGACCCGTTATTTAGAGTGAAAAAATCAATGATGATGATTAGCATTAGTATTATCATACAGACAGTACAGTAGCCTTGATGGGCATAGAGTGAAGGTTTATTTCTGCTGTATAGTTCCGGTATTTGTGTGATAAGAACGTTGTAAATGTTTAGATGAACTTTTATTTTGTTCCTATTCAAACAAAAAAGAATCGTACACTGTTAGAAATACAGGGACTGTGCAGGTACATTTTTCTTTCGTCAAGGTACAAACAATGTAAACGTTCCCTCAAAGGTACAAGAGTGGTTTTAAGGTCCAATTGTGTACCTTAAATACGTTTTTCTCATTGGAAAGTATGTATTTGTACATTTTCATAACCTAATATTTTAAAACAGAACAATAGAATAAAAAGTCTGGAGACGAGACGGGGTGTGTGGAGTCAATACAACTTAGAAAATATCATTTCAATGGATTATGGTACAATTACCCTGACTTACGGTACTGAGATGTACCCTTGAGGGTACCACCCCAGTGACAAGAGGGGTACTGCCCCAGTAACAGTGTCGCAGCTTTTTTCTGAGAGTGTATAGGTGAATTGTAAATTTACACGGGGCGATTATTGAGCGAAGGAGCTAAAAAAAATGAGTGTGAAAAAAGTGCTATTATTGTTTGCATTTGTGTAACATTGCCACGCCAGTGTTCGTGATGCACTGCCATCTCATTTATTGCTAAAACCTGGAAGGTAATTGCAGGGATATGAAACATTATACAGGCGTTATGAAGTGTTTAAGCTGTGTTTCTAGCAGGCTCTGAATCAGAGAAGAAGGTCGGACCCCCCAAGTAGACTCTGGACCCCCAACACCCCATTCATTCCGGAGAGCAGGGGGGCGACCTGCTCAGTTAAAAACCTTTAAACGAGAGCATAAATCCACACCACACACACACACATACACACACACACACCCCAGAACACCTCTGCAGTGAGTTTTCTGAGAGGAAGTCTCTCAAAAGTGGTGTGACTGTACGCGGTCTAATAATTATTGAAACGTTAAAATATTATTATCATCGCGATACTAAATATGATCTTTCACATTGTAATGTTCATAACGAAATGTAGCAATATTTGTCAATCAGCTTGCGTTACTATAGAAATTATTTTTTGTTCTCTTAATATATTCTTTTTCATTCGCTAATGTAATGGAGATTCCAAAACTGGCTTGCAGTTTCAATCAACTCAGTTTTATAAAAATAAATTACAAATAATATTTAGCACGAGCCACAGAAGCGGTGTGGAAATAAAAGACGAAGACTTACAGAAAAAAAAATCTTAAGTAAAAACACAATAGAGTTACAGTGGCAGCAGGTTGACTATTACTGTATTTATAATTGTTGTGAATTTTGAACGTGGCGTTAAAGTGGCGTTAAAAATGAGTCCCGTCATACAGGCATATGAGGAGAATATAGCGATTTAGAGTCTGTGTTGTTCTTAAACTCAGTAGGTTATAGTTGGACGCCGCAATTTATTCTGCTATATTATTAATTATTAATAAGGTGTTTGAGATGTAATAGTAACGTTTTTAGACGCGGCAGATCGACCCTGAGCAGAACTTCATTCAGACAAGTTAATACCATTTCTTCACTGATTTACTCATCCCGGTATTCCCTCATTTCCATACTCCCTCCTTATTTCATTTATTCCCTCCTTCACTCATTTATTCTTTTACTTATTCGCTCATTTATTTATTCATTCCTTCACTCGTTTAGTCTTTCACCAATTCCCTCTTTATTTATTCCGTCCTTCACTAATTTGTTCTTTTACTCATTCCTTCATTTATTCACCCGGTCCTACACTCGTTTAGTCTTGTGCTCATTCCCTTATTTATTCATTCCCTCCTTTAATCATTCATTCTTTTTCCCATTCCCTCATTTTCTCCCTCCTTCACTCATTCATTCTTTTACCCATTATCTCGTTTATTTGTTCTGTCCTTCACTCATTTATTCTTTTGCTCACTCCCTCATTTACTCATTCCTCCCTTCAATTATTCATTATTTTTCCCTATTCACTCATTTATTTATTCTCTCCTTCACTCATTTATTCTTTTTCTTCATTCACTCGTTTGTTCTTTTACTCGTTCCCTCATTTATTCATCCGCTCCTTCACTCGTTTATTCTTTTGCTCATTCCCTCATTTATTCATTCCCTCCTTCAATCATTCATTTCTTTTTCCCATTCTCTCATTTATTTGTTCTCTCCTTCACTCAATTATTCGTTTAACCCATTCCCTCATTTATTCATCCTCTCCTTCACTCGTTTATTCTTTTACTCATTCCCTCATTTATTCACCACTTCCTTCACTCGTGTATTCAGGCTGAGAGGCTGGATGGTGAGGGAGAGATCTGTACACGTTCAGGAAGAATAAAGAGCACAGACACAACACTATTAACAGCGTTAACCTTCACTAATTATTGTACCTTACTGCGGGTCAGTTTGAGTGAAATAAATGATAAATGGCTATAAAGGACTGAAAATATTAATACTTTCTAAAATCGTTTAGCGTTAAGCTTCGGTAAAGGCAATATTGTTTTATTAATATGTTGTGAAGTCAGTCGGCATTTATATGAAACTAGCAAAACATCAACGTCGCGATTTTAAGTTTTAACATTACTAAAATGTTGTAAGAAAACTGATGGCATGGCGCAGCTGAATTTCGCTCTCCTAAGTTGAATTCAACTTATTTTATTAAATTAAACAATTATCTATTCTTATGGGACAGTGTGATATAGAACCCAAAAATATAGTCAAACACTCCTGTAGGCTTTTTCATAAGCCGCTGTATTTACACTCCAGATATAATCAAATAAATAAATAAATAAAAATTCAAAGAAGAAAAAGTGTAAAGCACCGATCAAAAGCCTGCACTGTATATTCCTGTTTACAGTAATCATTAGCCCATATTTTTACACTTATCTGTATATAATTTTGTTCCAACAAGCATTTGTATTAAACTGATATGCATTACATATTATATTATATTATATTATATTATAATTCAGGAGAAATATTTCATTGATATATCCAATCATGCTCAATCCACATTAAGCTTTAGGTCTTAATATCTGTTTAGCTGTTGGGGCACACAGATAAAATACAGCCCAAATATTATATGGCTGGGTTATTCTGAGATGCTGCTGTCTCCTCCCAAAGAGGAGAGAGAGGAGACGCCAGTCATGAGACACCTACATTATTGCCCAAAGACAGAGAGGGAGTCTGCTGTTCATACCGACCGCAGTCAGATGGTCAGTGATGTACTAGTGCTTCCATGCCAAGTTCTTCTTCCCAATAAGATTAGGCAGCTAACTTCAAAAAGCACAAAAAGGGTGGATGTGGATTTCTTAAGGTTGGTATAACAAAGTGACTGACTGAAATGCCATAATGTAGGACAAAAAGTGCTTGGTAAGAGTTTATCTCATACTGAACAGCATCTAGTGCTACAATTCTAAATAATTAGATGTAACAGACTTGTAGAAATCAGTAACCAAACTTCATATGAGAATTCCCCAGATTTGGATGTTACTATGCGGTTTACCATAGTGATGGTCCAAAGTCACAAATTAGAGTCTCCTCATGGCCCAGAGTGGTGCAGAGATGCCCCTGTTCTTCTCTCTTATCTCTCTTGCTTAAGTCCTTGATAACTGGACTAAGACAAGGCTATCACAGCATGCGCATCACCAGACGTCATGGTGTCTATTTCGAGTTGTAAAGTCGTTCATGAAATATTTACACACAAAGAGATGAGAACCATAGCTGGAGCATTCCTGAATACCTCTGCCCACAATTCTCATCTCTCTCTCTCTCTCTGCCTGTATTAAACATATGGCCAGTCAGTTTTTCTCTCATGAAAACATCTGTTCTTGCGCACACACACACCACAGCCCTTGCGTTTGTGGCAATGGCCGGTAAAAATAACCTCATATGGCATGCGGTATAATGCAAAACATCCAGTGAATGCTTGTCACAGATACAATGAGGTACTGGAGAGCCGTCTAGTAAAAACACAGGATGTGGCCTTTATTGTACGAGAGCTATACTTTGGCTACAGTGGATCTACTTGAGTCTTGCATTGTTTTCCGATCTGGCTGTAGGGCAGTGGAAAAGACCAAAAGTGGAGCTATGCAATCTCAGGTATCATTAATGAGAAGAATGTCAGGGTGCGTCCATGGAAACGGTGATACCATGGCCAGCTCAGGTCCGTCCACCACTCGGGGGCCTCTCGGGCCTGGTTCCTAAGCCATCCATCACACGCAGTAATGGAGAGTTTCTGGAGCAGTCTGTGGCTGACTGTGTTAAACCACAGCGATGACAGCTATCTACTCTCCCTCACGAGGCTACCATCACACTCTCTCGCTCTCTCTCTCTCTCTCTCTTTTTCTCTTTTTCAGATTTCCGTGAGTATTCCATGAAGAATTTCCCTTCTTATACATCTCAACCCCTCCCCACCATCAGCCATGTTGAATATGTTTCCAATCTGTGTGCCCTGTCATGGTCAGAATTCTGCACCGCTTCCATGAGAGAAACCCCACGTCTTTCCAAATCAAACACATCGGATATTCAAGGACAGACATGGCTGCCTCGGATGATTAATGGTAGGTCCTGCTCATTTATTTAAGGTAGCTTAATCAATACACCATCACACTGATTAATTTTGAATAAAGACCATATTGTTTGTTGAGAAACGATGAACTGCCCTTGTGCTCACGGAAATCGAACAATAAAATGAATCTGCTGATTCTGTCCCATGCAGTAAATTATGATTTTGCATAATCCCAGCTGCTCAGTGCTTGGGCTGTGTCTTTGAGGTTTTCAGTAGGACAGCTGTGATGCAGTTGAGCCCACACACACACACTGCACGTTCACTTCCAGAACGGCACGGGACAAGCTGTTTGTACTGGGAGTTTCAATTTTCTCTCTCATCCAAGCACCAAAACACTCAGTCAACAGAGTTAGCCAATAATACACTGCAGTGGATCACACAAGCATGAGAGTGTTTACAGTGGAGCTTCAGGTGTTACATGCAGTTATCCCATTTCAGCCCTGTCGGACCGAGGGCTTAAGACCATGTTATGTGAGCTGATGGAGCGTGAGACGAGCTCCCCCAAACAAACCCTGTGCGGATAATCCTGTAGTTGGAACTCTGAAACTCAGACAGCTTCTTCAGTTTAAACAGCAACAGAAACTACTTTCCATCTATACTACTGTACCATCTACCATAGCAACAGGTGGGCTACAGTGTGTAATTTTATGCCTATGAAGTGCACCCATATGAAAGGTGTTTCTGATAAAATGGCCAATGAATGTAGGTATAAGGTTGGTGTAACTAATGAACTAGTCAACTCAGTGAATACCTCAAGTGAAGGCATTCTAATACCTGTGCAGCTTGATTTAGCAAGTAGATTAGTGGCCTTCACCCTCAGTCCTGGACATTAGTAGAACCCCTGTTTTAATGACACTTGATTCTGATAAACTGAGCAAAATCCATCCATCCATCCATCCATCCATCCATCATGGTAGTTTATAAACCCCTGTTGAAATTACATGCTTTGTTGATTTTTTAAGTAAAAATATTTTAACACATCCTTTACAGATAACAGGCTTCAATATTACATTTACCTGTTAAATGTTAGTGAACCATTTCTATTTATTTGCTGCTTTAACACACTGGAAAACAACTAAAACAATTTAAAACAAAATATACAACTTTTACATGGGCTAATGTTTTTCTCCAATGTTAAATTCAGCAAATAATAATGTGCTCTCTGTAAAGAATTGTGTACTTATTTTTACTTAGAAAATCAATGTGTCATCTATCTTTTCATCTGTCCATCCATCAGTCCATCTATCTACCCATCTATCAGCTTTCATGTTTAGGAAAACTGTATAACTCTACATTTAGCAGTGCAATCTACTCCTTGCATTCAGTGGTCACTCCTATGTATGATGAGGAAGGGAATGTCAATGTTATTCAATTACTACTGATTACTAATTTGGGGCTTTGCCAATAATAAGGTAATATACTAAACAGATATTTATTGGAAAGCACACATTTTTAGCATCCAAGATTAGATTTTCACATTGAATTTTACATAAACAATTACTACAAAAATGATTTTTGGTGTTAGCGAGGCTCTCTAACAAACACGAGAGCAGCTCAAATTCTCTCTCTCTTTCTCTCTCTTTTTTGCATCTCTTTCCCCTTCTCTCTCTTTCAGGCGCTTGCTGATTTAAGGAGTGGGTGTCAGGTTGATTTCATGTTTATTGGCCACACGAAAGGGTCCGCAGGTCTGCCCGTGTTAGGGCCTCTCACGGGTGGCCTGGCTGCAGGCGGCTATTGAGGTCCACCACACCCCACTGATTTCATTGCTCTCCACACAGTGGTTTTGATCATGTTGAAGAGGAAAAGCGCCGCACCTTGATTAGATGTTGGTGAGGGTGGTCGATGCGGTTGGACGTTCATTCCAGTATCAGCACTGCAACTGCACCATGTGGATCCGCAGTCATGCAGATCAACAGTACGGTTTGATCAGCGTTTAACAAATTGGAATGGTTTCGGTGGCTTGTTTTTGTAAAACTTGCCCAGTCGTGGTTCACCTGGGCCAAGTGCAGCGATGGGGCTTCGGCAACACCAAAACAGTGTGGCAAATGACCAGAGGTGGACATAACAAGAGCAGGATAAATTATAGGCCTATATGAAAGCTGGAAATTATTATGAAGCCTAAATAGACACTGGGATCACAAAATTTCCAGATGTTATGTCATAATCAAGAGTGCATCAGTTTGAAAGGAACAAAACAAATGTAAGACGCATCATTGTTTCCACTGTGTCCCTTAAGCATGAGCATTAAGTAGAAGCTTGTGGTTTTCCATGCAGGGAGAAGTTTAGTGAGGGTGAAACGGTCCTTTACAAATCCTACTAATGCTATTACAGGAAACAAACAAATAAGAGATGTGCTCAAAATGTGTTCAGTTATGTGACATAGCTTACATGTGTTTACTATGTGAATGTCTAATGTTCATAAAACACAAGATTTCACAAAGGTAATCTGTAAACCACTAATGGTAAATATTTTTATATTGAGTAAAGGTATTTATTTGTGAGGTTGTCAAACATAGCAATGCCAAATGTTTGTGTAGACACACAATTATGCACTCTTTCATCCCTACCACACAAACACCTCCTCATACACACACTCTCATACCCCCCTGCAAAAGATAACCAGTGTTTTAAGATTCCAGGCCTAGGACAATTTATCAGTCCTCGGTGACTGACTGAAAGAGGCCTGTAACTCTCACTATCTCTCTCTCTCCCACTATCAATACAAACTACAGGATTTAGCATGGAAAATAAATATTACTATATTTAATCACTCAGTTGGCTCCATATAATTCAATAAATGTGTCTTTTGATGTTTGTGTGTATAACGAACTAGTCAAATGTTTGGATGCATCTAGTAATACAAGGTTTTCATTATTTTTACTTTTTTTTCACCTTTTAGAATTAATAGAGTGAAGAAATCAAATATCTAATTTTAAATTCTATAAAGCAGCCCCTTTTTCTTGATGCAGCTTTAAATACTCTTGCTGTTTTCTCAAGCAGCTTCATGAGGAGCCACCGGGAATGCTTGGCTTTGAGAGAAAAAAAAACAAAAAACAAAAAAACATACATGCACATTAAATTGACTATTTATGAAAAAAAGTACAAGAAAATAAATAGATAAAATATAAAAAGCATAAGTGTGCCACTTGTAACAATTTTTCAAAATAATTTCTTTGTTCAAAAACGTGAATAAATAATTTGTTCAAAAAAGGGGTTAACTCATCTCAGGCACAACGTTTAATTTTTACAAGGTTTTCTGGCTGACAATATCTTGAAAAGGGTTACAAGGGAGTTTTTTTTAGCACAGGAATAGCAAATACATCAAACATGCTTAACTAGCATCAGTGCTAATGGCACAAAAACATATTAAAATTCTAATGATTTACTTTCAGTCTATAATTTAGATACATAGACTTTAGATACTTGTTAGTTTTCATCTAGGATGAGAAAACTTTTTCATCCCATATCTTCAGAATACTCTGGTGAGAGTTAACTCTGGTAACAGAGTTGAGTGAATGTTGAGGGACACAATTAAAATGTACACTTTCCATAACCTTTAATAGATGCCTCATGAAAGAAGACATTTCAAGCATTAGACGTTAAATGAATTCACACGTTAATGCAAAAAATACAATTTTGGAAAATTATAACTTTTTTGGTGATTTTATTTCAAGGTAAAGTGTAGTGGGCAAAAATACCATTTTCTAAGTGTTTCCAATGGATTTTATTAATGATTTAATAAATGTCTATTTAACTTAAACATGCATGTATGTTATTGTGAAGGACAATTTACTTCTGTCTTTTATCTTTACATACATATTTGTAAACATAATATCAGTGGCACAAAAAGTTTTACTGTAGTTACTGAATAATTCATAGTAAATACTGAATAAAGATTAATAACTGAATTTTAGGCCTGGGGTTTATGCAGATGACAATAAGATTCACTCTGCTTTGTTTCAACTTTTGAGTAGTACTGTACCTCTCTAACTGAGATACAATACAACATATTTACATAATATCGAGAGTCTTCACAAGTCACAAGTCTAGTTAAACTCCTCTTGTGTGTGGTGTCTTGGTGGTGACAAGCAGGCAATGTTGGAGACATTCTATTTAGGTCCTCCCTCCCACCTTAATCATACTTTGTATGCAAGAAAGAAGTTCTTCAATTGTTCTTTAGTAAAGGCAATGGATCTATTTAGAACCATGAGTTTTATATTGAACCTTTTTCAAACCAAAACGGGTTCTTCCACTGTTACCATGTCAAGCTTGTAATAATAAAAGAACCCTTTTTTGGTGCAATATAAAACCATTTTCAAAAGGGCTCTATATAGAACCATATGCAACACATTCTCCATCGATGTGAAGAACAATTTAAACCATTCCTTTTACTAACCATCCTTTTTAAGAGTGTGAGAAAAATTTAACACGGGTAGATACATATATGTGAGACAAACACAACATATTTACATACATTTGTAAACAAAACATTTTTTTATTATATGCAGTGGAACCAAATGTTTTAAAAATGCATAAATATAAATAATAAAAATGAACGTGTTTAAGCGGCATGTGTACAGTGCTCTTTATAACGCCAGCGTTCTTCACCACAAAGAGGCAAATCATGACGTCATCAGTTTCTTTTATTATTTTATTTATTTATTTATTTATTTTTAAGCAACTACTTACACGGCTCACGGCAAGAAAAGGCCTACAGGTTACCGGAGAGGAACTGAGCTTGGACTGTGTTTCCACGCTAAAGCTGGGGAGAAACACCGTCAGGCAAGAAAAGGAGGCTCGTAGCTGAGCACTGCAGAAAACCTCGGAGGGTAAGAAAGCATCAGTAACAGCTTCTCTGGTTACACGGTGAGATTACACTATCACCAGAGAGCCCCTCTAGGCCCGCGGTAGCTTAAGAAGGGGGGACCCTGCTCCGCTTTTAAACGGGATTGCTTTTATGACGTTGATTCCCGCGTGCTGATAGCGCATAGCTCTCGAGAATGTAACTCTTGTCAGTTTGCAGTTTCCCTTAAACTGGAAATGTAACTGCGTTCGATCACGGACGGTGAGGTCGGTCGTAAATCGAGGGCTGAGAATGAGCATTTGAGCCGTAACAGCAACATCGCTTGGCAGGTCCGAATCGCGTCGTGTTTGTGTGCCATGAATTAACATGTCATAGTTTAGTCTGTCTCCTCTTTACAGCGCGGCAAGTGACTGCTGTACGAGTCCCGCCACAGCCAGGAGAGCTTATAGTGCTCTCAAGCACACCCAAGCATTACAGCTGTGTTTGGCCTCATCTGTCAGTGCAATCGCAGAGAATGAAACTCAAGAGGCCACTTCGTGATTGCTGTTTCTGCAGAAACAGACTCATTCTTGAGTCCCTCACAAACCCAAAGCATTAGCACGGTGATATACAGGGGGTGTTTCTGCATGACACCGACCCAAACACTTTCCCGCCACAACAGCCCACTCAAACTAAACTGTTTGCAGCAAATGAAGGACTTTACTTAATAATGGTTACACAGTGGACGTTATTAGATAAATCATTACGAGAAAAGCTAAAACACTCGCAAAGAACCCTTCTTGACTATTAACGCTGAGATGGCTTAATAGCCTCTGTCAGAGAAAGCTTCTATTCTCTGCCCACTAGAATCAGATGTGCTCGTAGGCTGCTTATCACTGAATGAGCCTCCATTCGCAGAACACCTTTGCTACCTAAATGTCGTTTCTCTGCCCCAGCAGCGCCCTCTTGTGTTCCAAAATGGTAAAACAACACACTGTGGTGAGTATTAGGAAAAGATCATAGACACTCCCCCAACAGATCCCAAGAAACCTATCAAAGCCTTGGTAATAAGCAACTTAAATCAGGATAAACATGATTCATCCCTTTATCCCAAATGTAGCTGATAATCCAAGATATGTTTGGTGTCTGGAGTTTGCTTCTGAAGTTTTGCACTGAAGCTACAAGGCTACTATAACTAACAAGTAGAGGAAGCTTATGGCCATCCATTAAATAGACTTGTTTATGTGGTTTTTGACACTGTATGATGCACTGTTTTCAATTAAAATAGACAAACATACAAACAAAATCAGGCCTGAATTCTGAAGTCCACTTTTATAGCTAACAGCATGTCATACTGTATCTATAGTGGCTATAAGCTCCCATTGCAGTGCTATGCAAACGTCAGAGATCACCTTTATTTATTTAATGTCCTGTGAAAATAGACATTAAGTAGAAGTTATGCATTAAACTATATATAAATATATCTCATAATTGTACCATAATCCATTGGAATTATATTTTCTAAGTTGTACTGACTCCATACACCCCGTCTTGTCTCCAGGCTTTTTATGTTATTGTTCTGTTTTAAAACATTAGGCTATCAAAAGATACAAATGTGTACTTTTCCACTACAAAAAACATATTTAAGGTACACAATTGGACCTTAAAACCATTGTTGTACCTTTGAGGGCACATTTACATTGTTAGTCTCTGGGTGAATAAGAATTGCACCAGCCCAGTACCTTCATTTCTAACAGTGTACATTAACTTTGCAGCCCCCCCAAAAAAAATTAGAAGCAAACACTGGACACCAAACATGTCTTTACTGGCTCATTACATTTAAAGTAAGGGATGATGAGGGAAAATTATATACATTTAAACTGCACCTGAATCATCCTGTCTGACCTGATCTTTGTGTTTCTCTGCAAGATATATTCTTCCAAAATCGTATTAGTATCAGTAGTGAATGTTGAATAAATGACAGTACAAAACATAGTACAAAGTGCACAAAATACACACATACACACACACACACACACAGAACCCAAAAACAAACAAACAAACAAACAAAAAAAAAAGCATTTTATGCAGTTCATGACTACATCCTCCCAGGGCCCCCTGGGAGCCTTAAGCGACCACATGTATCACTTATAGCATGAAGCAGCACCAAGGTAAAAGAAACACTCCATAAATGTACTCTGCAAAATACTTTTTTTGTCTGTCGACTACTGTTGTATAACTTCATACATATAACTGGATGGGAGGTTTTCATTTTCTCATGAGAGAACATGTCAAAGATTTTAACTACATACAGCATTTTTTATTGGATCTAACTACAGTGTTGAACTTTTTTTAACAACCATTACATCTACGTCTGACAGTAAATAAAACAGAAGGATGCTACTTTGAATTCAAATAATATGAATGTTGCCTTTCTTTTCTCTGTGTATAGGCAAGAAAAGAAATACAAATAGAGAAAGAAATACAGAAGGAAAGACAGAAAAATATAAAAGAGACAAAGAATGACAAAACTTTTTTTCCTAATCCTAAACTGACATGAGCACTCTGAACACATGCTCAATAGACAACATCATTACTTACTTAACTTAATTTCATCATTTTTTCCACTTTCTTTCTTCCTAGAATCTAGAGGACTCCAGTTGGAAAAGTTGTCCCAAAGCAGAAACAATGAAGCTCAGCCAAAAACAATCAGTCAAAAAAAGCCTTTAAATATGCTCTGGTAAGACTTTCTGTGATTAAATTTACAAATATGTTGAATGTTATGTAAAATAAAACCTCATAAATATGACTGGATGATGGGCTTAAATTTTCTTACTACACAGTGTGTCAAAAGTTCTGTGGTATTTTAACTAAACATAGCATTCTGTGTAATTTCTTTTCTGCCAGTCCCCTTCATAAAGGTTTATTTCTTTAAGGAATAGTCATGCCTCTAACTAAAGAGTTTTTTAGATGGTAAAAGTAATATTTAAAACACAAGCATTAGAAACTGTGGGTAAGGGCTCTATTATAACTCACAGATCTGTTATATACAGACATATGGTTGCTGCAGCATGAAGGGATTTGAACCCACATCCTTAACTATTACAACTACCAGCTGTCATAAATAACAATCATAACTACCATTATTATCACCATTCATAGATCGGTGTGGTTCTCAGACAGCAAAGCACTACAAGAATGTAAGAAAACTTAATTCATTGTCCGACATTCATGAAAAGCAGCTGCTTAACCTGAAAATCAAACTTCCAGCAGATGGCGCTGCAGGAGTAGCTCCAAAATCTTCTTCCAACTCAGCAGGTCTGTTAAGCCTACAGACGGTTCTTCAAGGGTTCTTTAGTAAAGAAAATAGTTCTATAAAGAACCATGAACACTCAAAGAACCTATTGCAGGATTAAAGGGTTCTTTGCATCATGAAAGGGTTCTGCAGATTGATGGAGAATGAGCTATAGATGGTTCTATATAGAACCTTTTTGAAAAGGGTTCTATATAGCACCCGAAAGGGTTCTTCTATTGTTACTATCACATTCTGTGAGACACTTTTATGATGTAAAAAACTCTTCAATCATGCAAAGGGTTCTTTGAGTGTTCATGGTTTTTTATAGAACCATTTTTTTTTACTAAATAACCCTTGATGCACCATCTTTTAAGAGTGTAATCCTGGATTACACAGCATTCTGAATGGAGATTCCTCACTGAAAGGAAAATGTAGTTTAAGACTAAATGTAATCCCTGTGGGGAAAGCCAACCAAACATGTTTTGTCAAAGTAATGAATAATACTACTTTGAGTTGAGGGTTCTTTTCATGATCAAAACTACAATAACCATTACCTAATACTACAGCACTAAACACTGAGTACATAAACATGACTGAAAAACTCACAAAATAAAAGAAGAAAGGTCAAGAAGAAGGTCAGTTTAATTTCATAAGGAAGGTAGGTAGTGCACATATGTACAACATGTAACACGCTAAACAGACCAGACACGTATGCAAGACTATAAATACACATTCAAGGAAAAATAAGATAAAAAATAAAATAAAATAATAGTTAAAAATGTATTTAAAAATTAGATATATATGAACATGTACAAACAGTATGCAAATGTTTGTGCACCCCTGGTCAGATGACATGTTTAGTTGATTTTCAGTGAAAATAAGTTATTCAACTTAAAAATAATACAATTACTATTTATTATGTGACTTTAACATATTGAACATTAATTAACATAAAATGTAACATATTCAGTGAATAAATAGAAATTGTGCTTGAAGCTTGGCAGAAAATTGTCATACTTACATTTGTTTATAGTGGAAAATGTGTTATATACAAGGTCTGGGGAGACATACAATGCTCAAAAGTATAGTTTTGGGACGCTTCTATAAGAATTGTTTATTAATGTATTGTGGAAATTGTGCTTTACCGTGTTCAAAGGTATATTTCAGCTATATTAAGATTTATCAATCTATACTTTACTTCCAACTGAACAATATCAAACTAGAAAAAATTCACCCAACCCCCCATTTTTCTACAAAACAAATGCTGGGGCACTAATCTAAATCCATATTCAAACCAGAGATCTCCAATGTCCCATCCAATATACCAGACTCTAAATTTCATCAACATTCTGAAAGATAGAATGATTCAGAGAACTAAAAAAAAACATGAATATTGCGTTGAATAATGTAATAGAAACATACTGTTTCTTGGTCATAAAATGTCAGTAAAAAGATTACAAATACACTGAAAATTACAAAATCAAGAGTGAAAAATAAACTAAAGAGACAGGACATGTTCAAAACTTGCCATGTTCTGGCCATCCAAAAGAGAACATCACGCTTTGTAAATGAACACTAGCCTGGTGAGCATGAAAAAGGGTCAGTCCTGAAAGCCAACATAAGAATTCATTTTAAATAGCGAATCATGCCATACAGCTGATCAGAGCCAACACTGATACCCATCTGTAGTAGTAGCAGTGTGTGGTGCTTTGTGCTTTCTCCAGGCTCGAGTCCAAGTCAGACTGAAGGCTACAGCGGGGCACATCTGCATTTCAATACAACTTATTCACTCAGTGCACTTCACTCATTTACTCAGCCTGAATGCAGTGGCCTCAGTGCACGCCTGCTGATCACTAACACAGTCAATGAAGACTTTCTAATTTTGCACTTCTTTGTTTGGCCTGGTTTGGCATTTATAGCGCCTTAATCAGTGCAAAGGAGACTGGGCAAAATGGCATAAGAAAAAAATCATGATACTTTAAGGATTTTTCATGATACATGATATGCATCACTATGTTTAGTTTTTTCCTGAGTTTTAATAAGATAAGAGACATAATAGAACCTGTAGTGCCACACACAAAATACTATTATAATAATAGTAAATCTACAACTACAATGATTTTTATTCAATGTTTTACAAACTGCACTGCACTGAATCCAGTTAAACAGGCCAATTAATACTCACTTTAAAATGAAACATGCAGTTGGTCTGTGTTTTTAAGTGCTGACAGTATCCACAATATAATCAGAAAAGTGTATGCTGACATAATTTATCAAAATAATGATAAAATATTGTCATGTTTCCAACTCCCACCTCGGGCCATTTATCTTTGGGAGTAAGTGAATTACATTCCAAAACAATCTGTTGGCAAATGAAAGTCAAAGGCCATATATAAAAATGTTTAAATTCTCATTATTACTGCATTAATGTGTATATGTATAACTGGCAATAAAAACATAAGAAGAAAATCTAACATATTTCTAGACCTTTAAGATGTATAAAGGGATATTGTCAAGTACTTATCTTAATGCACTGACAGATAATTTTACTTCCTTGGAACAAGCACAATTATCTGCCAGTGTGATAAAACAGTGAATAAGAAATAAGAAAAATGAATAAGTGAATAAGAAAAATCTTCAATCTCATAATGAGAAATATTCGATATATAGCCTATATCTTTTGAAATAAAAGCTTCAGCAAAATGGCATTGAGACAGATGGATAGATACACAGTCCTGACACAAGTGAGCAACAGTTCCTGAGTTCCAGCACATCTCCATGCAGTGAGAGCTGCATTTTAAGTCACTCTACTTAATGTTTGTTTTAATGAGCTAAATCTGGTGTAACGTGTGGCTGCCAGCCTCTGCTGGCCTCTCGAAATGTATTAGGACTGTACACTCACACTTTTTGGCAGCAGCAGCAGAGTTGGCAAGGCCCAAAGTTCAGTACCATGTGATTTGGTTTGTTTTAGAGATATTATAGAGGTTTTTAATCACTGTTTTGGCAATAGTTCAATACAATAATCTTCATCACACTGTATACACTGTATGTCTAAATGTATCCAGGCACGCTTTCTAATTAGAAAGTTATTTTAAGGTGCCTTTGCAGGTCTCCATTTGCCCACACACAGCTTATATATGTATAATATCTACAAAAGGCACTATCAATAGAATGGGACGCTCTGGAGCAGCAACACATGAGCACAGGACATGAAGTATATTTCATCATGGTCCTAACAGAACAGAGGTCACTAATAGGCGGACCGCGGTCCGAGTCCGGTCCCAGATGCTGTCCTATGTGGACCTGGACCTATAACAGATAAACTATGGAGAATTATTTAATTTCAACGGGGTGGTCCTATTTTAATCGGCATAGCTTTTCTAGCCTTTATGGTACCGCTTTAGCGGCCCGGGAAACTCACAGACCAGTCGCATGCTTTGTAAATATCACGTTATGCTACTCAGCCAATCAGATCCGTGCATTACGATGAGCACTGCGACTCGAGTAAGTGACGCACACACGGGGACGAGGTGAGAAACAGCAATAAGAAAAGAAAGTGGGTCAGAGGGAGGTTATTTCACATGGCGTGCTCTAAAACTGACAATAAATGTTGTTGAAAAATTATTTAATTGTACTTTACTTGATTTGACATTCAGTTGTTGACTGCATAGGATGTTGATATAACTACTAGACTACTTCAGTATACAGTATATGGCACTGAATCATAATGCAAGTTAGACATTATGATGTTCCAGACCTTTGCTTGAGGAAATTTTCTCTAACTGGACCTTATTGAACTTTAATTAAAGACCCCTGTAACAGAACTTTGAAACTTCTAAATGTCTAAATGACAGAAAAAACTAAAAAAAAAAAGTTATTATGAATTAAGGAAACAAGACTCTAAAGTAGTTATGGACCATTTCTGTTGGTTCATTCATTATAAAATGTTCAAACAATGTAAAGCCTGCGTGCTGTGTTCCAATGATATAAAAATAAAATATAACAAAATAACAAGCAAAAAAATGTATACTTTTTATATGACAGCAACGATTCATACCTGATAAGTTTGTTCACTCATGGCATGACATTGATATTTCAGCATGGCTCAACAGAGACTTTCCATTGGTAATGTTTTCTCCCCCCACCCCTAGAAGTGAATGTGAGTAAATGCTAGCACTGTCCAGCCCTGCAAGATGCGGTCAGAGTCACTGCTGCCAACCCTGGTCAGTGGCTCATATGCCGGCCGGAGAGGGGGACAGAACTGTTGCTGTCAGAGAGATGTGATATAAGGAGCTCACTGTGTAAATCTTTCACTCAGAATAGAGCTGAGCTGAGCCATTCACTCACAACCCAGCACTACACACAGGAGAACACACACACACAGGTAAGCTGTTTCTGGACTTTGCATTGCTTTGGAAAACAGATTGCTGTGTTACTGGGCATAAGCCATAAAGAAGATCAGAGTTACATTTTATTATATGTGCAATAACTTTTTATCTTTTGAACGTGTTGATTTTTAGTGAGTTATAGTTTTGTAATCATTAACAATGTTTTGCTAATCTCCACTTGGAACTTCAGTATAAAATCAGAATATCAGTCAAACAGTGATGCAAATTGCTGCTATTTATTCTGTGTTTTAACTGTACTGAGATGAACAACCAGGGTGGAAAAACTGACACTATGTGAAGGTAGCATATACAATAAGAACTATGCTCTATTTAATATGTGGTTGCAACTGAAAGGAGCAGAAAATGTAACTTGACAATCAGTTTATGGATGCACTTGATATATGGACCACTCCACTGAGTGGAGTTCAAACTGAGGTCTCACAGTGAAAAAACTATTTACAAAAACAATTAAGTATTCAGACCATAGATATTTAAAAGGATCATTTTATGATCAATTTAAAACAAGGCACTGACTGAGATAGAAATAAACTAAATATATACATCATCCTTTACTTTCTATTGGAAGGTGCCTGTCAAATCCCTACATTTCAACTTGTTTAAAACAAACAAACAAAAAAAAGATCCTTTTTGTAGTTTTTTCAATAATTCGTATAAGATCTTTTTAAATTTAATTTAAACTTTTTCTTTAATTCTTAAAGAAGATTTTTAAAGAACAAATCTTTATTTAAAAAAAAAAAGCTGTTGCGTGTTTTCATGTCTGCACTGAAACACAAAGAATTTTAGCCTGTGGGCGAAGCCTTATTTTCACCACACCCCTGCATTTTAGAGCAGGAAGTGAGACTGCATCCTCGTCCATCATGGCCACATGGTGAAAATATGTGGATTATCTTAAGAATTGTTATTACCGAAATACATATTTTCTGCAATTAAGTAAACTTTTTTGTTTTAATGAAAAATATTATGATTTTATGTGTGTACAACTTGAGTTCTGCTTAAAATTACCTAAAAATATCACTACCGAAACATTTGGTAAAGTTTCCATAGTGTTATCACTGTTTTGATAGTGACAAAATTGAATATTCAATCATTTATTTTAATAAAATAAACATAATTAAGGCATCAGTTGAAATCCTTTTGCTTTGAGTGAGTTCACAGTCCAAGTTAGTTAGAAGTCTGAAATGGGTCTTGAATTCTAATTTTAAACCAGTTTGGTACATTGATCCATATAGAAGTAAAACCGACACTCACTAATGTTTTAAGTTTTTTCTTAAATTTGTTCTTGAGAAAGGTCTTAAGAAAAAGTCTACATCAGATTCTTGATGTGTTCTGACACCACATAATTGTTTGCACCGTTGTGCGTAGACTGTGTTCTTACCTAAGAACAAATCTCAAATAAGAAAACACTGGTGAATGTTAGAATCTTCGTAAAAACTGCATAAGTCGGTTTTAAGAAGAAATTTCTTCTTAAGAACGGTTGGTAAATGAGGCCCATTAATTTTGTTATTTCTTGCTGGCAGGATCATAAAATGAAAGTGTTACTTCTTGCGGCTATTCTCCTACTTGGGCTACATGCTGGTGCTGCTCATCCCTCAAATCGCTGGTCATGCTACAGAAAGGCGCTGAAGGACAGAAACTGTCATAATGTTGCCAGTGGACTTGAAATGATGAGGGCTATTGACTCCCTACAGAACCATTACTGGGAGGGCAAGAGCTGTGACATGGTCTGCTACTGCAATTTCAGTGAGCTGCTCTGCTGCCCCAGGTAACTGCACCTTTTCACCAGTAGATGGAGCATTTGCCAAAGTTGTGGCAGCCGGAAGGCTTGGAAAAAGTACAGAGGCACTGAAGTTAAGGAAAAGTATAAGTACTTTGTCAAAATCCTGTTCAATTAAAACTAGCAGTACTGAGCCAAAGAAAAGGTCACACAGTATTGATACTTAACCATATTCAAGTATGCAACAGTAAAAGTAAATGGTTTAACTAATAAAATGAACAATCAGGACTTTTTTTTTTACTTTAAAGTATCTTTAAAGCTTGGCAACGGTTGGTTACATGCTATGTAACCCAGACAAGTGAGTCTATCTGGTCTTAAATCCCAAAAATACCAGGCTTATTACATACTAAGGCTTATTATTCAGTAAGTACAGGGTCTTCAATGAAAAATGGCTGAGCTATTATTAGGTTTATAGGAGTGTGTAATTAAAGTGGGTGCACTGGTGGACCTTGGCCATTTAAGGGGTTAACCCTTGCCAAATAACTGTGTCTGATGACTAATGGCCAGCACTGGTCCTTGAAAATGCACTGAATAAAAACTGTGTTTTCTCTTGAAAGCATTCAAATTCAATAATAGTGGAGTAAAACACATATGTTTCAAAATGATAGTATTGAAACAAAGTACAATTGCTGAAGTATTTTCCACCACTGGTGGCCAGGGAGCAGTGAGTGTAATTCATAGTGAGAAGGATCCAGTCATGGCCTGCTGCTGAACACAGACTGCATTGTAGCTGTCATGGGGCTTCTATTAATGCCTGCACGTGGGCAGCAAGGGGACGACCTGGCCTTCTGATTCACTGGCCTAGTTGGACACTTGCACACAATTTTAGTCAGTGCTGCTGGACAACTTGAATAACTCTGATCTGCTCCACAATAGCTTATATTGAAACATGAACACTTCTTCTATAAATACAGCAGCTTACAGACCCATTTATAAGATATAATTAACTGCCGCCCACCACAATTCATACACATGCATCTAGAAAACAGGTAAACTACACATACAAATATTTGGAGATGCAAATCCACAAAAATTAGAGGAATAAGACTCCAATTAACCTAAACCCGCGTGCACTTTTAAAGGAATAGTTTCACAATTTTCTCCCAGATGTACCCACTGTACCATCTCCCTAAATGTAGTCCATCAGCCAAGACATGTTTGGGGTCTCAATTTTGCTTTTTTCAGTTTAGCGCTGGAGCTACAAGGCTAACATTGCTAACAAACACTAGAAATTAAGTCCTGCAAATTAATTCCAAAATACAACGCCAAAACCACTCTCAACAAGCTCAAACTGCATCCTGGTTATCATTCAGTTGAAATTTTGAAAAGTCAAGATCAATAGGTATTTATAAACATAAACAGCAGAAATTATGAACATTTTTAGCCTTCATATGTCAGGGTGATGTATACGCACACAAACGGGACTCAGAATTCAGCACAACACTGGTGTCCGAGATCTATGTCCAGCTACATCGGGAAGGTGTTTATTTTTATAGTTCACAGTAAGCCATATTGTGTCCTAAACAACATCAGAAGTCTGTGTGATCTTACTGAAGACCTGAATGCAGTTTATGCAGGATGAAAGAAATTTTGGGGTATATTTACAGAAAGGATTTGGGTCACTATTGACTTCTAGTGAGCAAGAAGATCAACAACAGGAGCAACCTCGTAGCTGTTCTAGTTCTTTTAAAAAAAAAAAAAAAGAGAGAGAGAGAAGCAAAATTTAAATACCAAATACATCTTGGCTGACTGTCTACATCTGGGTTAAGTGACAAATAAAGTGAGATTTGAACCAATCTAAACCGTTTAGTTTGAGATATTTGTGCATGGAGGGACTGCCCTAAATACATGTCAACACTGCCAACTATTTTACTATAAAAAGAAGTCCTGGAATTAAATACTTCTCAGAACTCTGTGCCGCAAACAAGGGAATTATTAATAATATTCACAAAACATACAGTCATGGCTAGAAATATTGGCAACCTTGCAGTTTTTCCACGTAATGCACCAATTAATCCAGAGAATTGTTGAAGCTAAAATGCTTTGTTGTTCACATTTGCATTTCCCTTGTTGGAATTGGAGTAACACAAAGAGGCTGACAAAAAGCCAAATTTGATCTTATTCCACATATAACTCTAAAAAGGGGCAACACATTGCATCCATTAGAAAATGTGAGCTTTTAAGCATGTAAACCTCCTTTAATTGGTAATTAAACGCACCTTTCACAAGTTACAAGTGCAGACAATATAGAAACCATAGTCAACCTTTGTGTTGTGTGTCTGTGTGTACTACACTGAACCCAGGAGGACCCTACTGCTGATACAGACACATACAAAAAAGCAAGACTGGTATTCGCAAAAGCTTACTGTAGGAAGCCAAAACCTTCTGGTACAATGTCCTGTGGACAGATGAGACCAAAATAGATCTTTTTAATAACGCACATCATTGGGCCTCATTCACCGACTGTTCTTAAGAAGAAAGTTCTTTTTGAAACTCACTCACACAGTTTTCACGAAGATTTTGACATTCACCTACATTTATATATTATATTATATTATATTATATATATATATATATATATATATATATATATATATATATATATATATATATATATATGTAGGGGGCCTTCATTGCTGTTTTCAGAAGAAAACCTTGTATCTCCATTTTTGTCATGTTTCAGTTTTTGACATGATTTGAAAATGCCTGTTGCCCTTTACATTATGTCAAAATTTCATGACGAATGGACCAAAAGAAACAGCCCAGAATGACTTGGAAAAAAAGTCAGGTTCCACTGACTTACATTAAAAGTAAAGTAGGTTTTTTTCCTTCTCCTATAAAATGTTATCATTTTGGAGATATGAGGTTTTCTTCCAAGAACAGTGTTATATATGTGTGTGTGTGAATATATATATATGTATATATAATTACCTGTATGACTCTGTATGATCTGTTGCTCAAGATGTAACTTGTCATTTCAAAATTAACTTCTCTGAGCTTATGCCTAAAAACAATAGCGGTCTGGACAGTTTGGCCTATTACTTACAAAGAAACACCTCAAATCTTATCATATTTGTTTAAAAACATAGCATTCCAGCATAGTGTTTAAATCATTATAAACACATTATCATTTTGTTTTTTATATATTTTAGCAACTATTTACAGCCCAGACTTTCCAGTCTTTACTGTTCTTAATTTTTTTTTTTTATTATTTAAAACTTGCCTGATTATGTTAAAAGAGGTATTATTCTTTCATTTCTATATAATATATATATCATTAAAAACTGAAACAAAGAAAAATGTTTATTGAAATGTAGGTGGGCTTACTGGTTTTTCCTTCCAACGTATTTAAAACAGCCAAAGAATCATTTCAAATATAATCCACTCAGTGCAACTTTAGTATGTAAGATGTGTACATAGATAGCTATTTATAGATGTGTACATAGATAGCTACTTTGTGTAATGTTTAAGCCAGTTATCTAGTCTAAAACAATTTATATTCTCACATTAACAACTTCTAAAATATATTGCAGTCAACAGGTTGTTATGTAAGATATACTTAATGTAAAATCATACAGGACTATCAACAAAATAGGTAATCAATACTGTGAAATATAGAGATCTAAAGCCAAAGTTATGTCTACAAAAATTACTATAGAATCATCTCAGATATAACATAACTTGTAACTTCAGTTAAGCATGCATCTAAAGTCTAATGAAAAATCTTAAGATAGCTTTGCATAAACGTTCCATTCGAGTGAAACATCATGATCATGCTGCAATAAATTGGCAATGTTGACTATAATTTGAAAATAGTTGTTTTTTTCTTTTGTTCCAGGGATATCTTCTTTGGGCCAAAAATATCCTTTGTGATCCCCTGTGATACCTCTGAGGCTGGGCTCTGAGAGGACGGAACATTTCTCGCCATAAAAACATACAACAGAATATCATTCGAAAATGAGTAACATTCAGTGCTAATTCTGCTTGACTGCATCAGAGTGAAAAAATGTGGATTACAAATGTCCACCTCTCTAGTTAAATGTACAGTCTAATTTGCCTCACAGCCCTTTTGTTCAGTGACTGTGATAGTTTACAATATACGTATCCAATCCTGCCTCTTTTTGCCCTGCAGGGTTGAGTTCAATCCCTAATACAACTAATCTGATCCGTGTAAATAATGTCTTCATAAGCATTTGAATATTAGAGCCAGGTGTATTGGATTAGCATGGGAACTACAGCGCCAGCTCTCCAGATGTATAGATGAATAGGTTCAGTGCTAAAATCAACTGTAACATGTGGAGCCTACAAAGACCATCACAACTGCCATTTATGAAATCTATTCAAAGCCTGGTCTGGCAGCGGCCCAGTGTGAGCAAGAAAAGTGTGCTCTTTTCTCGCTCACACTGGGCTCAGGATGCTGATTTTTCAGTCTTGCATGCTGCAAACTGTAAGGGTTTGGACATTCCAAATAAAGTGTACAATATTGAATGTATCTCATTTGCAGTTATGATTTTGGTGTAAATCTAACAGATAATGGTAGTGCCAATGCGCAAGGAAATTAACAGCCCACCCCTGACTCCTGGTTAAGTTGCATTTTGTCGATTTTGTAAGTGAAAATAAGTCCTCTATAGGGAACAAACTTAAATTTTCCAACAAATTATAGCGCACAAATTCTATTTATCTGCTGAGTTTAACAGATTGAGAAAAAAAAAAAAAAACATAGAATATAAAATGTGCCATAACGTTTGCACACTGTAATTTATACTTGGTGATGTACTTGGTAAGTACATATCCTCTACAGAAAAACACACCTCTGAACACCTTAATGCACACTTGCTGTTCATTTGTAGAATTTAACTTATTGGGAAGAAATGCTGCCTGTGTACATATTTAGGCACATTTTGCATATTATGTGTTTTTTCAATTATGTTAAACTTAAATAAATCAAATAAAACAAAATTGTGCATTAAAAATCGCAGGAAAATGCCATAATTAAGTTTATGCCACATTTAACTTTTTTTTTTACTTAGAAAATCAACCATGTATTTAATTTGACCGGGGTTGTTCAAAGTTTTGCTTATGACTGTATCTATATGTATGAGGAAGACAAAGCACCGTTATTGGTCTTGTACTGTGATTGCAGCGTCTTAGCTCAAAGGTATTGTTGGACTCAAGCCTATTTGCACTACCTTAAAGGAAACACCTAACTTACACATTCTGGCCCCTTACCCCAAATGTTGATCAGTCAAGACATGTTTGGCGTCTTTACTTTTAGCTACGAGACTAATATAATAAAAGTCCACTTGTGCTGCTATAACAGAAGACTTAGCTACATTAGCCTTGTAGCCTTGTACATTTAAGATTCAAACTTCAGACACTAAACATTTCTTGGCTGATCAGCTACACTTGGGTTAAGGGGTCAGAATGTGTAAATTTGATTTTTTGGTGAATCATTCTTTTAAGAATGCGTTTCCAAGTAGACAAGAAAGCACGTTTGCAAGCTGCTCTTGATAAGAAAGTCTGCTAAATGCTATATATGTAAACAAAGTGATTCTAAAACTTTAGTATAAAACTGAAGAAACAGGGTGGAGCTATGCTCTTCTCAAATTCACCAGCAGGACAGAAAAACACTTAAAGCTAAATTTTTAAAGCTCTCACTGCAAAAAAATGATATCTTGCTAGATGTAAATTCAAAAGGTTGTCATATGCACAGAGAGACAGAGTTGCACTGTACAATAAAATTCTTACATTGCTCTACAAGTTACTATACAAACACTATATAAAAACTAAGTAAAAGAAAGAGCCAAAAATAAAAGAAGGGCAGGAAAAATGTATATATAATTATCACTGCTGGCTCTTATCTCCATTTTTCAGTTTTTGACATAATTTGAAAGTACCTGTTGCTCTTAACTTTGAAAGTAAAGGATGCTTTTTCTTTCTCGTGTTGTCATTTTGGTGTTTCGAGATTTTTCTCTGACAGCAGAGATAAAAACAATACACTACATATTAAATATCCTAAAGTCTGTGTGGACTTGCAGCTGTGATCATTAAACAGGCATAAAAACAGAACGACAAATGTTTACAGTAAGCAGAATGAGTGCAAACAGAAAAAAAGTGTAATAGCAGCAAAAGAGAGAAACACTCAAATGTGTTTAAAAATACACATAAATATGTATGTATCATACACATTGTGTACATATGCAGTATAAAAAATATACGGTATACAGAAAGTGACAGACGGAAATAGACAGTGCATACAGGTGAGCGTTTGTGCAGTGTATTATATAGCAGCCACTGCTGAATTGCACACTGCTGAAAGTCCGTAATGTTCTAGCAGCCATCTCGTGGGAGAGAGGTAATGGTGATGTGGGAGCGGCTCTGGGACCACATTACTGGTCAGATCTAATATTTCTCATTAAGAGACTGTGCTAAGAATATTATAAGATTACTTAACCTATTTCTATACCTGCTTACACATTTTAAGCCAGTGTATCCAGTGATATCTTACTATACTGCCAGCTAGTATTCCTTCATTAAAGTGCTGTTTCTTGCAACAAGCAAGGAGCAATAAGGGCATTTAAAATTGTCTTCTTGAATATGACTTGGAAAAAATATGCACCTTTAACTGTTTCCAGAATTTTTCTACACAAAAGTGAGGATATGGCATACATAAATAATGCTGCAGTCTTTAAAAGGAGAAAAATAAATAAACAAAAGTTACAATGCAATCACAGGCTACTTCTTCTTTTACTTCCATTCAACACCAAACTAGAGATCAGGATTTAAACTGGCCCATTTGCCCCCCTTATATGCGCCTTTTGTACCCTGTTGAAAAACTCATTCAAAAGCAGTGTGACAACTTCAAAGCTCCCCAACACCTCAGACTACCTGGGGGTAGTCTATTGTTTCTACCCACTGGACAGCCATTATCACAGGCTGTCTGCATGGCCAAGTAGAGGGGGGAAAGTGAGAACAGTTTTTAGAGTGCTTTTAAACACACAGGCCTGAGGTAACAGTATTATGTTAATTGCTGCCTGGGCACTTTAGCATGTGAGAAAGCCCTCTATTGAGAATTATGCAACTGCAAACCCTACAAGTGGGGCACATAAACCTACAGTACCTTAGGCATTAGGATGAGAGATAAGAGTGCTTTGGTTTAAGTTCTTATTCCATAAAAAAATCTATAACATCTTGTTATTTAATGACACATAAAATGCACAGGAAAAGCAGTTGGAATTAAAGAAGTGGAATTCCACAGATTTATCAAAATTTCTCTACAATAACATGGTTAATGTAATTGTAATATGTAACCAAAGTCATTCAGAGTGGTTTAAAGTAAAATGGTCAGCTCTAGAGAAACTTACTGAGTCAGAACTGTTCACAGTGGTGGTGATAGGAACCAGACCATGATTTCCCTGGATTGTCCAGGTTTTTGGTTGCCTGTCCACAAAAAAAATGAATTCCATTATTTTTTCCAAGCATGAGGTTAAAAGTCTTTCTTTTTATCAAGTCAAACCATTTGCATACAAGAAATGGGTCAGATTACCCTCAGCATACGGACATTTGGTTGAATAATGTGCTGCTGGTGACATATTCAGGCATATTACAGGGCTAAGATGGCAAACTTACTGGTGTCCACCACAATTTGGTGATGAATTGATTAAAAATTAACAGATGCATTGAACCTGGTGTTTTTAGCAGATAATCCACCAAACTGTGCAGGACTCCAGCCATCCAGGACCAGAGTTCTGACAGAGGCTTCTAATTGTCTAACTGAGCATTGTCCTTCTTTGAGAAATGAGGGGAACTCAAGAATTCAAACCATTATTTTATAAAACCTGTATGAAACCCCAATAGGTTTTTTTGGGTGCAGGATACAAAGACTCATATGAGCATGTATACAAACATTTACTTTGGTACATGGTTTATAAAACTTACATTTGGACGTAAAGAAGTCAACAGAATGTAAAGTTTAAAAAAGAGACCAAAAGAAAGATCACTTACCTAACCTCAGCTACAGTCTTTTATCACAATCATTGTATAATGGGTTGATGTAGAGAAACCAGTGCATGACCTAGAAAGGCAACACCAACTGATATCATATATGTGTAGATTCTGACCATCCTAAAATTTAATGTCATATTCACCAGCTTAATAGTGAACACTACTTAGATTCACCTACTTTCGTGCTGCAGCAAATGAAGCAATGAACTGTATGAATTACAGATGCAAGTTGGACATTGGCAGTTATAATAAAGTGAAACTAGGTCACCAAAGCCATCAAAGAGCTCATTAAGATGTTAAAATGAATTGATTTTTCAAAATTTCTGCAGCGTTAACTTGTGAAGATGTAAACAAAGTCATTCAGGGAGGTTTGATGACATGTTCCGTTACAGAGAAACTTACCTAGTTAGACCTGATCACAGGAGTGATAGGAGCCAGACAAGCAAAGTTTACTTCATAGAAAGCTATTCCATGAAATAGTAATGAATATCTGACTGATGCCTGAGACAGTGTTTTATTATCTAATTTTGAGGCTTTGGCACAGTGCTCATATTTTAAAAGCCATTCATGGTAGAGGTACATTCAGGAAAACAAATACTCATTTTACCCCACACTTCACAGTATTTAACCATTACCAACATTACATATAAAAACTCAAGAGTATGTGGAGGATCACATCCTGTGTTAGATATAACGACCCCTAGTTCCTTTTACCGCCATTGTACAGAAATCTGAGTCAGTAACATTGAGTGCCTCTACAATGAACCATTTCACATCAAACCACTCTAAAATCTCAATGATTGAATTGTACAAGAATTTTGAAAAACTGTGGAATTCCCCTTTAAGCCTGGGGTGGAAGTTAAGTTTGGGGGGGTTGGGAGATAATCAGTGTCCCAGCTGTCTCGCTCAGTCAACGGGCTAAGCCTACAAACCTGCGAGTGAAACTGAGGCCATCTTTTGGTGGATAAACATAGCAATACGGTGCACTTTAGAACGCACGGTGTGAGATAGCATTTGCTGAAAGAATAATTCAATGTTGTACATGAAACAGTTGGATTTCACACATGCTAGAACTAAAACTCCACCAAGACAGATCCCAGTGACATGACCCTGAGATTACTGGCTGTGAGTCTTGCACTCGCTCTGGTTCTGTTTTCCACTGTGGGGGGTTTGGCGCCATTAAACTAAACGAACACAACAACACACAGCGCTACCAGTTAACACCTACACAGTTTCCCACATAAATAGTTTGCGGGCTTTAACTCTTGACATGACCTTCAGCACATCGACACTCCTGCTTTAAATATTAATCAACAGGAAAAAATAAGAACGAGCCCGCTTAAACTGCGACAAAACCGCCGTCCATTTTAAATCCGCTCATCAGCCAATAGCGTGGAGACAAACATAACCGTCACCCGCTCGGACGGTGAGTGCTTGATTGATGCGTCGACGAGCCAATAGGAACGAAGGATTCTTCTTCGTGGTCGG